CATTCCTAAGTTTAGAAGCATTAATGAAATAATATGTACAATGTAGAAGAAATATGAGATCTTTATAGGCTATATTTGGTAAAAGTGCTTATCAGTAATTTTTTAGCTTATGGCTTATAGCTGAAAAGTTAGCATATATGATACTCCCTCTTATTCATTATAAATGTCGTTTTGACTTTTTTGATTCATCAATTTTGTTATGTATCTAGACATATTACCATTTTGTTATATATCTAGACATTAGTATGTCTAGATACATAACAAAATGGATGAATCAAAAAAGTCAAAACGACATTTATAATGAATAGGATGTAGTAAAAGTGTTTGGTAAAATTAGCTGATAAGCTAACTGGAATAAAAAATTCAACTAGCTTATTTGAAAAGCTACCTAAAGAAGTTTATCAAATAAGCTCGAGCTTTTTAAAAAAAGCTCATCCTACCAAACGAGTCGTATTTGAATACAGGGAGCTTATAAGCTAACCAAATAAGCTATAAGCGAGCTCTTTTGTCTACCAAACATAGCCATAAATTGCTCTATTTTCCTTTCCATTTTTTATTATCCCATTTTTAGGGGTAAGAATATAATTTTAGTACATAAATTTTGGCTGTTTCCTAGAGTTATGAGAAGCAATACTTGAAAAAGATATGGATGAAACATGAGATTTATAGTTACAAAATTACTCAATTCTCCTTACCATTTTAGTTACCCCATTTGTAGGGGTAAAAATATAATTTTAATGCACAAATTTTGGTTGTTTCCTAATTATTTTTTAGGATTACAGTTTGGTGCAATAATTTGTAACACTTTTGTCATTTTCATTAAATAATATTTTAGGATGACAAATAATGTAAATAATTTTTATATTTTGTGATACTTTTGCCTAATTTTATCTTTATTGCCTAGTTTTATCTTTATTTTTTGATTCACATCAATTTGAAGTTATTGACTCGATATTTCAAAAGTATTTTTGATTTCGTCATATTATTTTCCTATTGATGACAAATTATTATCTCCTTTTCTGGCATGAGTATGCTTTGAAACTTCTAGAGATTCTGTGATTTCTAGAGCCACCATAAGACATAGGTAGTCAACTGGATTCTGTCATCTGAGATGTCTTTCTTGCTCACCTTCCAAAGTTTGTTCCACCAACATTTGAAGTTAGCCTCTTAAGCTATTAGTCCATCCCAAGTTAAAGGAGCCAGTTTCTAGATCATTTTAGCCCTGCTGCAAGAAAAGAATACATGCTCTATAGATTCTGGCATTTCGCTAGCAGAATGGATGGAATTCAATGCAGCTGCAGGGAATAAGGTTAATTGACCTCTCAGATATAGCTCTAGGTCTCATTTGGAGTTCAGTGGCTCTCTTTCTGTTGGGTCGTTTATTTTTCAGCTGTGAATCTCTATTTTTGTGTGTTTTGATTTATGTCTAAGGAAATCAAGGTTCTCTTGCCTTAGATGTACTTGGGATTGTTGATTGGTTGATAGGAGTATAGTTAAGCTGTTTCTAGGCCACTTTGTATAGGTGGTTCTCTTCTTGTATTGGGGTTCTTTAACCTCTCGGTGTATTAT